AGGGGGCAGTTAAGAAACACCCATTCAAGAAGACATACAAGGCAAACATAGGAGAACAGGTGAAACCAGTCATGCAGCAAACACAGTTGTCCTGCCTTTTACAGCAGAATAACTAAAAACCACACAAGAGAAGATGAGGGGGAAAAACATGATATTATATCAACAATGTGACACACTGTGGTGTTTATATCCATCCATCCATCCATCCATCCATCCAGAGTTTATATATACAGTGTATATATATATATAAAACTCTGCATAGGGCACATTTAATAGCGAGAATTTGTGGTTTGTAAACAGTATGCTACATTCTTGGTGCAGATTGTTTGATGATAATCTTATTTCAAATGGTTCCTTCTTTTGCACACAGCCTAAAATAATTCCTTTATTCATAAAAATGGAATAGGGTCGACTTCAATGAACCAGTGAGYGATCAGCTTTAGAAATCTCATTTCATCACTCAACAGTCTCCTGCTTTGGATAAAAACAAGTCAAAGACGCATCAGTTGCAGAACAAATGAAGTAACTGAGCAAGAGCAGCAGCAGCTTTTCTCTCTCTGCCCTTTGTTGTTAAATGTGCATTTTTTTGTGCATATTATTTGAGCTGTTACTGATCTGCTCCCTTGCAGATGACTGCTTGTGTGCATGATATTGTACACCCAGCTGATTGCTTTAGCTCAGCTGTTTTTGTAGAGGGATTTAATTTACCAAATCTTTATACTCCACAATGCTTTCTTTATACTATTATCTGTTTTRTTCATGTTGACAGAAAGATGCATACACACAATTAGCTAGAGGCTAATAAATCCTAAAGATGGATGYATTCTGGTGGCAATCAGACAAATATTTTGTAGAATASCATCTATTTTTCGATATTATTTGGAATATTTTCCATGACATATAYAATTCCACACAAGTCACTTTACTTATAACTTGAAGATCTTTAGGATTTAGCCCWGAGTGGGCCTCAGCATGGTTCAAGAAAACCATTGATCTTGTTTGTTTGGTAACAGAGCAGCTGTAACTGAGTGGGGGGAAGGACGACAGTGTTTTTTTTTTTCCTTTTTGACAGATTTTAAGCCTTTTTAAAATAATTTGTCAAAACAAAATGAATTATTTAACACTGATGTCTTTTATACATTTGGAAAGAAATAATGTTGGYTGTAATATAAAATTTCAGATAAATGTGACCCAAAAATATACACTGCTGAAGTTTATTGATAAATTCTCCTATAAGTGAAGTAAATTAAATAAGGCAAGCTTCCAGGTAATTTTTTGTTTGATGTGATTAACTACCAAGCAGTAAACATTGTAGTTTGTAGATTATTCAAAATAATATGCCCCATTCTCTCTTACACTAAATTAATAATTGAAGATATTGAAGAAGCATATGCATCCATTGCTTGTTCTTAGTGTATAGTTCTTCTTCTGGCATACTACGTGTTTTACTTATAAAAAAAAAAACTTGCATATATATTTTTTTTCTTCTCTAAATTAGATCTCTGTTGTCATCCACCCCGAGCACCTCATGAAAGCTGAAAGTTAGATTTATCTGTTCCTCAAATCAAAGTCATGTGGATGACTGTGCTGCCAGACGGGCTGGCCTATTTTCTCTCTCTGAGGAATGTTACTTTTCTTTTTGTTCTTTTTCACTGTATTCATTCTTGTGTTTCCATTTGGTTTACTTTTTTGAAGCCTTTTTTTTTTTTCCCAAAAAATTTCAGCATGCATAGGCCAGATGTCCAGTACTGATGATTACTCTGTTTGGGTAGTTTAAAGTACAAACAAGGGTGCTGGACCTCTGTGGYAGTGGGCAATGGTAATCCTGTTTTGGGAACATTGTTGACTGCTCTGTGCCAGTGGCCTCCCTTTGCCCAGAACCTGCCACCTGGCAGGGGTGGGGGTGGGGCTGGCTTTCTTTCCTTCACATGGAACAGGAGGACAACAAACACAATGAAAACTCCCTTGTGCCCGGTTCTGAATATCACATAAAAGAGGTTTCACTCTTCACAAGGCATGACTTTAGATTTTGCTCTTGATAATATCCTGTATAATTTCAAATTACAGTGGCAAAGTGAGCTGAACATTTGAGATAATATCCAATCAAATCCTCCAGGGGTTTCTCTGGTAGTATCAGCATATTAGAGTCTGGCCTCACCAAGGGGAAACAGTTACTTTCCATTTGACCATTGTAGTTCAATGAAGGAGTCTTTCAAAAAAAATCAGCTGATGAAGACGAGGGGTGATCTTCATTGCCAAGAGCCCAGGCACGCAGCCCAGGCTCCCTTCCCCCGTCTCCAGCTATATGACATCCTCCCTTGGCTGCGCAGAAGTACCTCAAGCTGTTCTGCTCACAGTCTGTTTCAGGTCTTCTGTTTCTCATCTTAGTTCACATTACAAAGCCTTTCTTTACATGGCACTTTAATCAACTATAATTACATATTTTCCTGCCTTGAGTATCAAAGGTAAATATTGTATGGTGCTCATTTGCATTTCTTTCACAAATACAGCTTTTGTTTGTATTTCCCTTTCATTTGCACCTCAGACGTGTTTTGTTTTTTAAATCTGACCACTTCATTGAGCTTTTGTTAGATTTCCACTGTCACTTATCTTGCTTATTGCTGTTTTACCCTCGCAGCACTTTTTTTTAAATCTTCAGTATCTCCATCTGTCACGTCTGTTCCTCAGTCCCAGTCTTGTTCCTCCTCAGCATTCCCTCTGGAAGCTATACACAAAAACATTTTTTTTTTCTTCCTTCTCCACACCAACATTTCTGCTGCAGTCAGGCTGAATCATGCTGCTTTATGATGTTTAGGGACAAAGTTCTTTTGAAGTGATGTACAGTCTGCTTTGCAAAGGGAACGGTGAGTTTGCGTGTGTATCTGGGGATAAATAGCCTTTTGTGGGCTTTATAAAAAGGTATTGGAATAGTGCGCTGTACAGAGATGTAGACACTGCTGACCAGGTTCCATTCCAGCCGGCTTCTTCACAGCACTATCAGTTCTTTCCACCTTTTTCTCGCTTTTCACAAAACGTGTTATCTGAGGCTGGCCACATTGAAAACCATTGCGCAGCGTTTTTGTGTGAATATAGACGTGAAAGTGCACAATTTCTGAGCTTGTTTAGGTGAGTGTGTGTGGGAGTTTGTGTGCATGCATGTGCCTCTGTGTGTATAAAAGGTGGATTTAGAGACATTAGGGATCCGGTTCTGTCTGATGATGTCTGGCACAACATGAGAAGAAGACAAGCTTGGAACGAGACAAGATTGTCACACCGACGCTGGGAATAGTTTGCTGTTTCAGAGTTAATGCCGCTTTAGAAAAATGCACTTGGTTTACTTTTTTTTTACGCATCACAATTAGCAGAGCGATATGGGTTGCAAGAGAGTAGTGGCAAACAGCCACAGCACTGATAGACAGCAAGCATCCCAGTGCTCCCCCTGCAAGATGACATCTGTGGGCTTTGGTGGCATTGCCAACATCACAGCACACAGCAGATTGTAAATGTTATCAGTCCTGTCAGGTTGAGTCTATATTTGTCTCCAATATCCGCTCCCACTGCTTAACTAACACTATTAWGACTACAATTGGGGAATTGTTTTGACCAGAGATCTGACAAACCCTGGTTAAGCTAGTGAGCTGCCACCTGGTCAAGGCCTTTTGTCTCCAACTCCCTTCAGTCTCCTTGAACCAAAAGAGCTCAGCTTCCACTGTTTTCCTTACAGGACATCACCCCCTGGTGTCTGGTATGCAGGTGTCTAATCTGGGCTGATCCCTTTTGTTCCCCATGTTTGGCAATGGTAGAAGCCCCTCGCTGATCAGGAAGGCAAAGATGGCATTCCAGCAGCTCTCCATAATCCGCTGTCGGAAGTCCAGTAGACGAGTGGCTGATGTTGATAAAACATGCTCCCGGTGGAATTTTACAGTTTGGAGATGGGAGATGGTTTGGAGTGCGAAAGAGAGGGAAGCGCACACACAGACTTTTTTTTCTTGTCCAAAGCAAAAAGCTTGTATGTGTACAAATTGTTTTATAGATTTCAATCTGAGCCTGTCAGAATAATAAATCTCCACAACAGGGCCAGTAAAGCACATACTAATACATATTTTTTCCAATTATTATGAGGATCTTTTTCACCAGACCACAGTTGACGGCTCATTGGTTTTAGACTCATATATTCCCTGGTGAATTACATGCTTCTGCACAAAGCCCAGAATTCATTGAAATGTTTGGTTAGTCAGTATTGATTTTTTACTGTTTACACTGTAAGCAGCATCAAGTGGTCTTTCAGTTAAAATGTTGCTCTTGCTTTTATGTGTATCGATCTCGTGGTGTTTGCCATCATAATGATATTTATTGTTGCAGAACTCAGATATGATTTCAGAATCTCTAAATGTCTGAAAACAAAAGGAATGAAGAAACTGTAGACAGCATAATTTGTAGGCAAAACTAATTTAGATCAAACTACACTTAATTCAAATAATTTTCATTTAAAAAAAGATAAAATGCTCTTCACTTAAAGCTATTTGTATGAATGTAAACTGAAACAATTTATTTTAAAAAAATACTCTTATTTTCTCCTGTAGGTGCTTATCCGCGTCATTGACACCAACAACCACCGTCCTCAGTTCTCCCATCAGGTTTACGTTGTAAACATTCCTGAAGATGAACCTGCAGGGACTGAAGTCCTGCAGATTCGTGCTATGGACAAAGATGAGAAAAACAAACTGACCTATACGCTCCAGAGCAGCACCGATCCCTTCAGCCTGCGGAAGTTCCGACTGGACCCTGGAACAGGCACATTGTACACCACTGAGCGTCTGGACCATGAGACCATGCACCGTCACATCCTCACAGTTATGGTATGAATCGGTCATCATGGATAAATTACTTTCCAAAGGGGAGTTTTGTTTTCCTACAGCTGGTTTAATATAATCATTTTGTTTTGTTTGCTAAGCTGCAATGGAAGTTAGATTATGGTTTGCTTGTCTGGTTTTTCAACGTGGCTTATTTTTTATTCTAATCRAGTTGCTTTATAAATGCTACTTTTCCAGGTTCGAGACCAGGACATTCCAGTAAAAAGGAATCTTGTGCGCGTTATTGTTGATGTGGATGACACCAATGATAATGTGCCCTGGTTCATAGGAACGCCTTACTCCTGCCGTGTGTTTGAATCTGCTGCCATAGGCTCAGCCGTGCTGCAGGTTACTGCTCTGGACAAAGACAAGGGCTATAACGCAGAGGTAGTCTACAGCATTGAGTCAGGTAATTGCCCATGTTTTTATTGTGCCTTTTAAATGAATTGCAGTTTCCTTAAGTGTTATTTATATATTTTATTAAATCTAAAAGCTTTCTTTGTCAAATGAAGTTTATTAAATCAGCCCATTAAAAATCTATGATTCAGCTTTTATGCTGCCCATTGTATCCTGATCATGAATGAAATATTGTACAAAAAGGAGGAAAATATTGACGTCTTTGTTTAGAGGATCACTAGTGTGTGGGTGATGGGCAAATCTCTCACAGAGTTTCCCATGATGGTTTCTCTCCTACACTGAGCTGTGAAAAGCATGCAGCAGTTATGTTGTTGTTTGCAGATATGCATATTTCAAATAACTGAGATGCCTGTGTGACTTTGTTGTAGCTTATCATTCTCCTCATACATTATTCCAAAAAAAATTAAATTTCCCTTGATATTTCTCTCTTACAGGAAATGTTGGAAACTCTTTTGCTATTGATCCTGTTCTTGGGACAATCACAGTCGCTAAAGAGCTCGACTGCAGCAGCAAAACGGCATTCGAACTCACCATTAAGGCCACCGATAATGGGGCGCCACCTCTGTCCACTTCAGCCACCGTTAATATTATGGTAACTGTTTCTGACAATGCTGCCCCCAGATTCGCTGAACAGGAGTTCTCCTCAGAGGTCAGCGAATTAGCCCCTCTAGGAAGTTTTGTCAGCATGGTCACAGCCACCAGCCAGTCATCTGTTTTTTACCAAATAAAAGGTGGCAATGTCAACAATGTGTTTGATATCAATCCAAACTCCGGAGTGGTTGTGACACAAAAAGTTTTAGATTATGAGACCACCGCTCAATATAAGCTCATCATCCAAGGCACCAACATGGCGGGACTTGCCAGTAATGCAACACTCCTGATTCATCTCAAAGATGAAAATGACAATGCTCCAGTCTTTATCCAAAGGGAATTCAAAGGTGTAATCAGCGAGCTGGCCTCAATCAACAGTGTTGTTCTGACGCATGAAAACACCCCCTTTGTCATTCATGCCTCGGATGCTGATTCTGACCAGAATGCCAGGCTCATTTATCAAATTGTCGAACCTTTTGCTCATAACTACTTTGCCATTGACTCAAGTACTGGGGCTATCCGAATCACAACAGCTTTGGATTATGAACAGAGGAGTGTTTTCCGCTTCACAGTTCAGGTTCATGATCTAGGAATGCCACGGCTGTTTGCAGAGACACCAGCCAATGTGACCATAGAAGTAATTGATGTTAATGACTGCTCACCCGTTTTCAGCCAAGAAGTGTATGAAGCATCCTTCATTGTGCCAACCTACAAAGGCATAGAAGTTATTCAAGTGAATGCTACTGACTCAGACTCGGGGCCCAACTCAAAACTTCTCTTTTCCATCTCTGAGGGTAATATTGGGGACAAATTCAAAATCGATCTAGTCTCAGGCATCATTTCTATTCAGAATGTCACACAACTCAGGAGCAGATATGAATTAAAGGTTAGGGTTTCGGATGGTCGATTTGCTGCTGTTTCTACAGTGAAGATTAATGTAAAGGAAAACAAGGAGAACAAGATGAAGTTCACTCAGGATTCATACAAAGCCTACATCCAAGAAAATTCTTCTGAGAAGAAAACACTAGCTGTGATTGCTGCTGTTGGGAACCAAGTGAATGAACCTTTGTTCTATCGAATTTTAAACCCTGACAACAGGTTTAAAATCAGCACTACTTCTGGTGTTATCTCAACTACTGGGATTCCATTTGATCGGGAAGAACAAGACACGTACGATATCATTGTTGAGGTCACTGAGGAAGACAAATCTGAAAATGCAGCACATATTTTAGTTACTGTGACTGTGGAAGATGTAAATGACAACAAACCAATGTTTGTTTACCTTCCCTATCATGCCCTTGTCCAGATGGATGCAGAGGAAGGTCAGATAATTCGACAGGTCAAGGCCGTGGACAAAGACATGGGTGCAAATGCAGAAATACATTATTCTCTAAAGGAGCATCAAGAACACTTTGAAATGAGCCCATCTGGAGAAATCCTACTTAAAAAGAAATTTGAGAAAGACTCCCTCAACACAAAGTTTGTTCTTGTCGTTGTGGCTAAGGATAATGGCAAACCACCTCTTTCAGCAGAAGTTGAAGTGCCAGTAACAGTTGTGAACAAAGCAATGCCTGTGTTTGAGAGGCCATTTTACAGCATTGAAATCCCTGAAAACATTCAACTACATTCCCCTGTGCTCCATGTGCAGGCCAGTGACTCTGAGGGTCCTCGCATTGTGTACACTATTGCTGAGGGGGATCCTTTCAAACAGTTCTCAATTGATTTCAACACAGGGGTCATTCATGTGATTCAGCCTTTGGACTTTGAGATTCATCCTGCCTATAAGTTAAATGTTAGAGCCACAGACTCTTTGACTGGAGCTCACTCTGAGGTGTTTGTTGATATCATCCTGGAAGATGTAAATGATAACGCCCCTGTTTTTATGTCAAAGGCCTACTACGCCAATATCTCTGAGGCTTCTGTCATCGGTACATTCATTTTGCAGGTGGTTGCCAAAGATTCTGATACTGGTAACAACAAAGAAGTATTTTTTCAACTGATTGAGGAAAGGGGGAAAAGTTCAGATTATTTCACCATTGACCGTGACTCGGGAGAAATCTTTACATCTCAAATTCTTGATCATGAAGAGATTCAGCAGCACAAGCTGAGGGTCCGTGCAGTGGATGGAGGAGTACCAGCCCTTTTTAGTGACATCATTGTGACAATAGATGTCACTGACCTGAATGACAACGCACCAGTCTTTACAGAGCACACCTACAAAACCACTATCAGTGAATTGGCCCCACGTGGACACTTCGTCAACCAGGTCCAGGCTTCTGATGCAGACAGTTCAGATGCAAACAAGTTGGAGTTCTCAATTATATCTGGAAATGAAGAACAGAACTTTGCCATCAACAAAAAAACTGGAGCCATTGTCATTTCAAACCACCGCCAACCACACATGCAGCCAGTTTACAATCTTAATGTATCTGTGTCAGATGGCGTGTTCAGAGGCTCAGCCCTTGTTGAGGTAACAGTTATCGGTGCCAACTTCCACAACCCCACCTTCTCACAGACGGAGTATTTAGTGGAGGTTATTGAGAACTCACCTGCTGGTACTCTGGTAGCAGAAGTACCTGCGACAGATGACGATGAAGGCATCTATGGGCAGATTACTTATCATATTGTCAATGAGTTTGCAAAAGACAAGTTTACTGTTAGCGAAAAAGGAGACATTTTCACTCTTGATAGACTCGATCGTGAAAATCCTGTTGAGAAGGTTATTCCTATTTCTCTGATAGCTAAAGATGGTGGTGGAAAAGTAGGCTTCTCTGTTGTTAACGTCATTGTCACAGATGCCAATGACAACACTCCTCAGTTCAGAGCAGTTGAGTACAAAGCCACTGTTGCATCAGATGTCCCAAGGGGAACATCTGTACTGAAAATTGCAGCTTCAGACATGGATGAGGGGAGTAATGCTGACATCGAGTATTCCCTTGAAGCAGATGTTGAAAATGTCGAGGAGAATTTTGATATACACAAAACCTCTGGAGTCATTATTACCAAAGAAAGCCTCATTGGACTTGAAAATGAACTGTATGCATTTTTTGTGAGGGCGAAGGATACAGGGAACCCACCCAAACATTCAGTTATTCAGGTTTACATTAGAATTGTCTCATCAGAGACACAGGTTCCCAAATTTGCGGAACTATTTTATCGGTACACTGTTCCTGAGGATCTTCCCATCGGTACAGAGATAGATACGATTCAGGCCGAGAGCGAGCAGCCAGTTGTTTACAGCCTTGTGAAAGGCAACACTCCTGAGAGCAATGACGATGAGGTGTTTGTTGTAGACAGAGATAGTGGAGCCTTAAAACTTCAGAAGAGCCTTGACCACGAGACAACCAAATGGTACCAGCTCACTTTGCTTGCTCAGACTCTATATGAGAACTATGAAGTAGTTGCATCAGTAATTGTGAACATCCAAGTTAAAGATGTTAATGATAACAAACCAGTCTTTGACGCAGACCCTTATGAGACTGTTGTTGTTGAAAACCTTCCAAGTGGGACTGCAGTCATTCAACTCAAAGCCACAGACCTTGACTCTGGAACTAACGGCCATGTCGTCTACAGCCTTGACCCTAAGCAGAACGTCCATGAAATCTCTGATCTGTTTGCCRTGAACAGTGAGACTGGATGGGTAACCACCTTAAAGGAGCTGGACCGTGAAAAAACAGACAAATACCTCATTGCCGTCCTGGCTACAGACCAAGGCGACACAGTTCAGCACATCACCGGTGCAACTGTGGAGATAAAAGTGGCCGATGTGAACGACAACCCGCCTCGCTTCACTGCAGAGATCTACAAGGGAACGGTCAGTGAAGATGACCCTCCACCAAGCGGAGTGATTGCTATTCTCAGCACCACAGATGATGACTCTGAAGACATCAATAAACAAGTTAACTATTTTATAACAGGTGAGTTTTGTTAGTTTTTCCAGTTTTTTAAGCATAGTTTATGTTAGCAAGTTGAATCAAAGATAACTGGACTTCTTTATTCTTGAAGACATTTCACTTTTTGTCTATGAAGCTTTTTACCCCTAAAGGTGCTAAATTTCAAGAGTTTGAGCACCTTTCAGCTTAAAACTGAGAAATCTCTTTGGATGTGAAGCAAAACAACCTCAAAAATCCCCCCAAAAATTCCAGTTGCTTTTGATTCAACTTGCAAGGGTTASCATGTTCTGAATGACTGAGAATCTACAACAGCACATAGATTTTCCACATCTTGGTACTAACAGTGATTTGTAAACATAGCCCAGAGAGGGTTTATCACTTAATATGATGATATTAACTCATTGTTGAAACACTGTACTTATGGATWTCCCATAATCTTCCTGATTTCTTGGCAAATATTGAACTCGTTATGTGAAAAATGTTTAATTGTCTGAATAATACTTTTAAATCTATACGACTTTATGTGTTGCAAATTAGCAAGTGTAAATTACTTTGCCAAGTCTAAAAATATCAAGTGGACTTATAAATTGGAGCTGTCAGTTTTCTATATGCAATCATGGTTTACATACTTGAGTAACAACAATATTTGCTTCAGAAATGACAGTTTGCTTTGTAAAGTTTGTGTAATTCTACAGAGCTTTTCCAGGCATTAGAGCTTTTTAGTTGCTTAGAGAGCTTTCTGCTTCTGATTTGTTAAAGCTTGTTTCATCTCAAAACAGGAGGAGACCCACTCGGTCAGTTTGCCATTGAACATCTTCAGAATGAGTGGAAGGTTTTAGTCAGGAAGCCCCTGGACCGCGAAGTGACAGACAATTATCTGCTCACCATCACTGCCAGTGACGGCATCTTCACTGCTAAAGCTGTAGTGGAAGTCAAGGTGCTGGATGCCAATGATAATGACCCCATATGCATAAAGGTAAAGTTTACTTTGCTTGTATTTTCAGCAAGTAATTTTTATCCCCATTTCTTCTCAGTGTGCACCGCTTTTACTCCATGWATGTTAACTCTGTGTGTCCTCCAGTCCGTCTACAGTGAAAGCGTCCCAGAAGATTCCCCGGCTGGCAGGCTCATCCTGCAGGTCTCTGCCACAGATGCTGACATCCGTTCTAATGCCCAAATCTCTTACGAGCTCCAGGGAGTTGGATCTGAACTGTTCATGATTGACTCAGAGACAGGTGTGTATATCTGTGCAGGAATGAGGATTTAAACAGGAGAGGGGGAAAAAAAGGAAYGTAGGAGTGATGTTTTGGGTAAAGCAGAAAATTGAGCTCTCTAATTATGATTTATATTATTTTATTCATGAAGCGTTGTTTAATTTGATCCAATCTATGTTGGAGGTTATTGTGTTATTATGGAGCAGTGGGAATAAAAATCATTTTGAAGTCTGTCATGAAACACTCCTGGGCTTCAGCGCTGTGCAGTAAGTCAAAAAGGCAGCTCAGCATGACAAGCTTCACATTCTACACGGGCGCTGTGATTCCCCTGCAAAATGTTCTGTTTGGCATGTGTGTCTTTGTTTCTTTGTGTTTAAATTATTGTTAGCCACAGAGGACATTTGGAAGTTTTACCCAGTTGTTATTTACTTATTCATTTTTAAAAGAGCCAAGAACATTTCCCTGTCGGGCGTTCAAAYGCCTCTCAGTGGCACTAAAATACAGAGTCGCATAGTTATATTGAATTAATGTCTGCAATACTTCATGCCGGCAAATTATTTCCTCTGGGAGATGCTCTAAATCAGACTTTTCACTTGGTTGCTGAATAAAAAAGTAAACTGGAAAAAAAATAAAAATAAACCCTCAGTACAATCATASTTAATCAAAACCAACCTGTTTTTGYAGTTAATGGAAAATAAAAGTATAGTAAGACAGTGCAGACTAAGCCTGTAGATTTTAGCAGCTTTACAACACATCTGCTSTTGCTAAGACAGAAAGTAAGGCAGAATGCCATCCTGCTGTCTTCTGGTAGAACTCAATATTAAGTTTGCAGCAGCAGCAGTGCTGCTGTTGAAGGATTTCTGTTTTCAGTGCAGACAAGTAAGAGTATTGCTGATTATGATCGCCGAGAGGCTCTGCAGTTTTCCAGTGAGGTTGTGGTAATCTTGGCTGCCTCACTTCCCAAGACACTTCCAAGCTGCTCATTGCTGCCAACTCTTGATGTTTTTTTTCTTCAGCGCTCCCCCCTGTCTTTGCCTTTCTCTACCACCTCTCGTGCTTCGATGACTTATTCATTCCTCTTGCTTATCTCTTGAAAGCCTTTAGTTTGGATGCTTTTTATTTGCCTGGTAGGCTAATGGTGCTCTACAGTTTACACTGTTTGCTAATGAACTTGCTATTTTATCAACTCTTTGCAAACACAAATTATGATCCCTGTGTGTACTTCTGTACTCCAGGGGAGCTGAAGACCCTGCAACGCCTAGACAGAGAGGAGCGAGATGAGCACAGATTCAGAGTGCGAGCAGTGGACGGGGGAGGGAGATATTGCGAGGCTGAGATCCACATCACGGTGGAGGACGTCAACGATAACCCACCTCAGTTCTCGTCTGATCCCTACACCATCACAGTGTTCGAGAACACAGAGACGGGCACATTTGTTGCTAAACTGTTGGCAAATGATATTGATACAGGTAAGGACTTCTGTTATAAAAACGTTTTTCTAAATCTGTATTTCACAAAGAAGCTAGATGATTTGAAGTCCTCAAGCTAAAAAACACGTTTGTCATTTTTAGTCACTAGTCCATTTTGCTAGATATAAAGGAGGAATCACGAAGCTAACAATTTGTCACACTGGCTTAAGTTTTATGGTTTAGTAGAAATTGTTTTCTCTCAAAATGTTTTTAAACTCACAGCTGAGGGAAAAAGAAATCTTTGAAAAGAGCCTCAAAAAGGAGTGAAAATATTTCAGTCAAAAAGACWGTTTTTATCTTCATTGATCCATGAAGAAGACCAGGATCACCWGCTCCTGTGGCTTCAGTTATGAAGYTTCATACTTTATTCAGCTACATACTTGTGTGAGAATATGTCAGTTACGTGGCAACACATTTGTTGTTGAAGAAAGTGTTTTGGCGAATTGTCAATTATTCAGAAGATCAATCATGTCAGCATTTTCTTTCCACATTRCATCGTTGCCACAATCCAAAACAGAAACTAGAAGCACTTGGAGAGCCAGCCTCCGCAAGGCCAATTTCCCCTGTCCTGCAATAGTGAAGAATCCTTCAAAAAATTCCTGGGTCCAGWTAGTGATCCGGATCATCACCAAAACTTAATTTTTTATTCCTTTGGCCAATACCCRCCTGTRGAAAAAATTTCATGAAAATCCRTCCATAAGTTGTYGAGTAATTTTGTCCACAGACAGACGGACAGACATACACAACCGAAAACATAACCTCCTTGGCGAGGTAACAAAATGTAGAACAAGCACACCAGCATGAATAAAAAGCCATTATAACTTACTAAAGATGCTGCTGAAGTGGCAAATTTAAGAATAAAACATGAACCAAATTTAAAATTAAATTGAAGAGGAGGAAGACACAACCTGATATGAATCTTAAAATAACAAGATATTAACATATGATGACATTAAACACATCCTCAGGTTTAAATCTGTTCAAACTCACAAACAGGCCCACTGATTTTTTGTTTTCCCAACCTTGTAACTAAATAAAACAAGTCCAGATCATGTAAAAACAAGGTTAACATTTAAAATTTCTAAAGAACATCAAAATAATAAGTTAATAGAAAATAAACAAATTTTTGTGAATCTCGTGTCTCCCATTATTGTTATCAAAAATCTTATTTAAATGAATACGTTCTATTTAAACTGTAATTTTAGCTATGCATCCAGGGCTTTCCTGAGTCTATCAGTTTTTAACCTGCTGCCATTTTCTCTGTTTGCAAAGTATAATATTTGTGAAAGTCTAATATTAAATATAGCCCCACAGAAAGTGTCAAAGACATTTTTTGCAATCAACTTTCCTGAAATGAGAAATAATCAGACAAACAGGTTTTAATTAACTCTGTTTTGGATGTGGCAATAGAAGGTTAATTGCCAGAAAATAGGCTCAAATATAGCCCGTGCATCGGACCTAAATGTAATTAACTTACAGCTGACGTATTACTTCAGGTCACAACAAAATTTAGATGATTCAATAGTATAATTTATCAATAATTTTTAGCATCATTTATTCTTTTGCATATTCATCTGGACTCTGTGTTGACTAACTTATCTCCTCACTGTGGAGCTGCATTCGGCTAAATGGCCAGAATGTTGGGATAAAAAAAAAAGTAAATTTTTTTATCAACCCCTGAAATTAAAAGCTCCATTGCACTCTAATGAAATTCCTCTCTCCTCGAGCTGAATTCTCAAAAGGGAGGATTGCAATTTTCCATTTACCTAGCGCAACACCACAGGGCCACATATTTATCTCAGGCGTCTCCTCCTTTCAGCAAACATTGCCAATCACCGAGAGGCTCACACATGGATAGGTCTGGGAGCTTAAACCTCACAATTGAACAGCCATTGGAATCACTTGGGATTTTTATTTTTATTTATTTATTTATTGAGGAGACTGGTGGAACTTCTATTCTAGGTTTTCTGTGTTTAGTGAAGCAGGACACCCAAGCATTAAAAAAACCATCTTAGATTGTTGACTGACAGAGAATCGTCACCGTCTGTCTCCTTCTATTCCATTTCCYCACTTTTTTTAATGGGCCTGGCTGACAGAGTGAAAGGAATGCGAGAAATGGGCCCCTTAGAGACAAACATTAAACGATGTAAAGAAAGCTAGTAGAAGGACTTCTCTTTGCCAAAAGTTGGCTTTACATTTTACATATTAATGACAAGGATAACAAAAAAGGTGGAGAAAACAAGGTGCAGCCTAGTTTAGCCAAAGGCAATAACTATTAGCAATATTTGKTGAAAGCAGAACAGGATTTGAACAAGCATTTTCACACACTTGTACATATCAACAGTATTTTATTGCTATTCTGCTTAGTATTTGTTTAGCTATATTCTACAGTTTTAAAAGGTCACAACCTTTGCATCTTTTTCAGTAGATATTTCCTGCAGGTTGCCTTTTTTAATGAGATGTCAGAATCAGTACTGGGTTTTCTTTGGTTGTAAGTAGTTTAGTAAATATTTATGGAGTCAACTTGATTCAAGGTAGCAACCACAGCTAATTGACCTTAGCAAACACAAAAATGGCTTTATCTATTTTATTTTTACAGATATTAAGATATGTTTTGGTCAGGTTATAGCTGAGAGTCCTCAGCACATACTCTGAGAACTAAYATATCTCAGGAGATCTTGTGTGGCATTACCCATAATGTCATTAACAACGTTTGACCAAACAAAYATAACCCCATCGCTTCTCATCATAAGATGATCTTTGCCTAAAACTCTGGCATAAAGGGCTGAGAGTGATATGCATTCCTTTAACAAATACCAGGCCTTTAATTCTAGCATTTTGTTTATGTCTTCTGCCTTTTGGGTTCTGTAATTTCCGGACTATAAGCCACWACTTTTTTCACATTCTTTGAACACTGTGGCTTAAATAACGATGTTGCTAATTAATGAAGATGGCATGACTGTTCAGTGTAACCAATGAACAGTCATGCCACCAAATTCACTGTCGCCTTACAGCCAGAAGGTCCTGGGTTCGATTCCCGGTTCCAACCTGGAKTCTTTCTGTGTGAAGTTTGTGGTTTTTCCTTGTGTTGTGTGGGTTTGCTCCGGTTTCCCGACACCCCAAAAATTACGTCCAGTAGGTTACATTTAGGCTCAGACTGCCCTTGTAAAAGAGATCTGCAATCTCAGTGAGTAAAATAAATAAAATAAAATAAAATGAATTTACAGGAAAGGGACAGGGTCAGCTGCTTGGTTACTGACTGATCAGTCTGGCAGTCATMTTTAAGCTTGAGCAAGACCCAATGCACATTTTGTGCATTGGGTCTTGTGTAGGACATGCAATGTTTGTGCACAATGCGCATTGTGTTGGTTAGGATATGACGCGTGGTGTCACGTTGCTGTTTTTGTGTGCCACATGCATCGTGCAATTGTGGACTGTATATGTGTTTGGTTAGGTGCGGTGATGATTTTTTGTGAAATTCCTGCAGGTGCCCTTGTATGTAACATCTCTGTGTAATTATCTCATGTTACAATGTGGACACGTGTGGCTTAAAGACAAGTGTGACATATGTGTAGTTTATTTTTTTTATTTATAGTGGGTGCATCTTATATTTAGGCACGCTCAATAGTCTGGAAATTGCATGAYTTTACAGGTTGCGGGTTTCATTTTTTGTCTTCAAAACATCAAATGGATGTAACTCATTCATTAAATATGTGACACTACAGTGACTGGCAACTCATTTACTTGTGTTATTTCACTTTTTTATGTGAATCTGTGCTCAAAAATAAAATAATTACAAATAAATATATATATAAATAAATATTACCTTGCTATAGCTATGTCATTTATTAAAAATACACAAAAAAGATGTATTAATTTGGTAACACCTAATATTTAAGCAGCATTTCGTAAAACAACTGCATTTCTGTCTTAAATAAAAATATAGTTTTTGTTTTAATACTGTGAAATTATCATACTGTCAGAAACTCATACTGGCCTAGTCTAGATGTATCTTTGACCCAGTTACTTCATGCTTCAATCTTTGAAGCYAACCATTAAATTTTAAAATCTAATGTAACCCTTCTTCTAAGAGGATTGATTTATCCTCCATATTTTCTGCATATTTCAGAGCRGACTCGATCTTGGCAGTGGTTTCTGTGTGCCACAGCCTCTGTGATCCCTCCATGGTGTCTGATCCTCGCCCACATAGCAGCTCCCAAGCTCAGCCTCCTGTTAGGATCTCTGAGAGGCTGCACTTATCAGTGTGGAATGATTATGAAGCAGACAGAGACACAGACCCAGACTGGTGCCCTTGATCTGTGATAAACTTCTAAATTCCCCCTCTGATTCAGCTTTTGTCCTTTATCTCACCACCTGGATTGGAGCATATCTCTTTGCCCCCCGGCGCCGCTCTGCAATGTTATTTTCCTCAATCGGTTTTGAAAGTTTCACCATTTTAGAGGAATTTAAACGATTTGTCCCTTGTCCTCTCTGTTGCTTTGCCAGAGTCAKGCTGTGCGTCACTGGACCGTCACAGTAAGCGTCTAAAAAGACTTTCTAGAAGTTGTTCGTTTACCCAAAAATAACAAGATCAATGTGCTTGCTTCGGGCGACATTACAAAGATTTACATGAATAAATTGTGCTATACAATATAGTCTGTGATGTTGCTCTTCAGCTAATCTATTAAATTTTTTACTGTCTGTAAAATATTACATTATAGCAAACAATTATATTAATTTCTGAAAAGCCAAAGGGACCTTGTTCATGAACATGAGCTGCCTATTTATTCTCTCCCTCTGAAGTCACAGATAAATTGACCAAATGTTTCCAGCTCTGTTTCAAATTAAACATTCCAGCCCAGGGACTGAGATAAGCATCATTAAAACCAGTGCATAAGGCAATATAGGAAGTCATAATTCAATACAAATCTCAAAACCGTCATTAAGCAATCGCCTTATTAATGTTCAAACCAGCTGAAAGTGATGAGAAACTATATAAGCAGCGTTCCCCACGGTCATCTCTCCGGCACGATAATGAGATCTAGAGTGGATGGAGGGCGCTCACCTGATAAATGGGACTGTAATAGCATATTCCAAATGGGGACCACCTGAAGAAAAGCRTTATGATTATTATTGTGATCAGTCTTTGTCTTATTTCTGGGACCATCATGCTTGTGGGAGGACATGAGTTATGAGGAYGGGATGAATTAGACGTTTACAGCTCTGGTTTATCAGAGGTGCTGTGAAACACAGATGATCTGGGATGAAGGTGCAGAAGGTGCTGGTTTTCAGAAAATCAATACACCCAAATACAAAAGTCAGTGGAGGGATTTAAGCCCTGAGGTTAAAAGGAGTATTTYTGTTGATGTGGCTGTCAGTGTTATCATGCTCGGCAGCTTGCTGAGTGATGAACATGGGAGGCCAGTTCTCTCAAATTGTAAACTGAAAACTGAAATGAATGAATATCGAAATGTAATGAAAGCATCCATATCGGAACAAAAAAAAAACAACCTGATTATCTTTTTTCATCATTTCAGGTCTTAACAGCGACATTCTCTACTCGTTGGCCGACTCTGCGGATGGATTTTTCTCCATCGATGAGCACACTGGTGTGATAAGCCTGGAGCGTCCCCTGGACCGCGAGGTGCAGTCATTTTACGAGCTGAAGGCCCGGGCCAGCGACCAGGGCTCTCCCCGTCTTTCCTCATTCTGCCAGGTGACGGTCTCCATCCTGGACATCAACGACAACCCGCCTGTGTTTGAGCACCGCGAATACACGGCTAATTTGTCAGAAGACGTGGTCGTGGGCGCTCAGGTGCTCAGAGTGCAGGCAGTCAGCCGTGACACCGACACCAACGGAGAGATCTCCTACAGCATCATCAGTGGGAACGAGCATGGCATGTTCAGTGTGGACCCACGCACGGGTATGTAGAGATACGACTATTTTTTTTTTAAGGTGTGCATAAGTTAATCATTTTTATGTTGTTAAAAAGAAAAAAAAAGAAAAGGTATTGAAACAATGTCAACCAGTGCTTACAGCAGGGTGCATAATAGTCAAATATAGACTCCAATTCTTTTAAGAATCCTCAGTTTTTTTAAGCATGCTTTTTTAAATTGAAGTTTGTTGTTACAAACCAAAGGCATCCCTATAGTGAAAGTCACTGTCATTATACCGAGCGCAACACAAGGACATGATGCAACACTGTCTGCCCTCAAACGTACTTGACTTATAGGGAAYATATCATGCAAAATCCACTTTTGTTGCCATTAATTGCATTTAATTGTTTACTTGGTGTCTCTAGCAGTGCAGAAAATTAGAATTTTGTTTCTACGTAAATATCTTTATGTTCTGTTTGGTTCATATTTTTCAACTTGTTCAGTTTTCTCTATTTTCTACGACATTTTCTGAACTATTACATCATAGTTTTTGTGGCAGAACTGACAATGTCTGAATTTACCAACTACAATTTTGTCGTCTTCATTCTCCTCTGGCTCTGGGTCAGATTCTGACTCCCAACATGTAAGGCTGGATGGACAAGTCWTATGTTGTTGACATCTTTGAATTCATTTGTAAATAAAAGATTTCTGTGCCGCTATATAGTCATAAACCCCTCTATCAAGTTATAATAAACWGAGCTRGAKGSGGGCGGGGTGTGAAGCACCTTGTTTGGATTTAAAGAGCGGCTTGTAAAGTTACAATGAGGAAGAATTCAGACTAAATCACTGTAGTTGCCCTACCCAAATGATAGATTTAAATGTAGAAAAAAGTTCTAAAAGCATGATATGTCCCTTTTTAAATACATCAGTCTTTTTTCAGAAGACAGTACAGCTAAATTTGCGAACAGCGCATTCCGTGCTGACGCTCCTGCTCAGAAGGCACAGACCGATACGCTCTCTTAACGCTCTCACGTTTGCTTTCCGAGACCATTAGTCAGTGCTGTATTAAAAAAGGCGTGAAAAAAGCAACACGGCTGCTCTGGTGTGTTGTCGTTTAAGCTGCTGATGAGTCGCAGGACTCCTGCCCCTTATTATATTGCAGAGATCCTAATACGATCAAGTGCATCTATTTAAAGTTTTGAATTTCAAAATAATCTGAGCCTTACAACGTGTAATTTTTACCTGCTTTTTTGCCGATGAAGTTTGTTTTATTTCCTCCTCTGCATGTAAATAAAGTGAAACTTTCGGGGCTTGAAAAAAATACACAATGAAAGTTTAAATTGTGTTTTTTTTTTTTTTTTTTAGAAAATATAAGGACTTGCTAAATTGTGAGACTAGTAAAGCTCTTGCATTATGCTTTCTCACTCCCCCTGTCCCTTTTTTTGCTTTCAGGTGGCATTTTTGTGATTGAAGGCTTGGACTATGAGCTCTCTCATGAATACTACATCACTGTAGAGGCTACAGATGGTGGTTCTCCTCCACTCAGTGACATTGCTACTGTGAACATTAACCTCACTGATGTCAATGACAACAAACCAGTCTTCAGCCAGGACGTCTACACGGCCGTCGTCAGCGAGGACGCGGAGCTCGGGAAGACGGTGTTGGCGGTGAGGATGTTGTTCCTGTAGAAAACATTTACATAGGACACAGCAGCTCTTTGATGTGGTGAAATAACTCATAATTACTTACTAAACCCATATGAAGGATTATACCTGTCCTCCACCCGTCTATCTTAACTTCCCTCCAGCTAAATCTGTCAGTTCATCCACCTTCTAGCTCCACTGTTCATTTCCTCGCTCACGGCCCGTCTCCTCTCTGCCCATTATTCACTGAACACACTATCACATATCTGCACCTGTGGCAAACCACCATCTGGTGGAAAAGCTAAATCAGGGCCACTGCTCTTCATGCTCGCTGCGCTCCTGCTCCTGTGCAGTATCTGACACATGCTCAAACAGTATAATTAAAACACATTTGACTCATAAAGCCTCCTGTCCAAGATCAGGTGTTTCCAGCTTTTCCCTTCAACACCTTATCACAGCTTCTTCCCCCCTCTTAGAAAAGAAACGTCTGCTTATGGTCATTTCCCTGTGCATCTAATGTAGGGCTCTATGATTTTCACAATGCTGAAAACATGGACGAAATCGCAGAACTGACCAAACAAAATGGAATCCAGTCTGAAACGCAGAAAATTTYTGTGGCTATTTATTTGTTAAATTATTGTTTAGTCACTTTATTACACCCTTATTAGCCAAATAAATATGAAAGTGTGGAATTCAGGGGAAAAATGGAATTTGGGAAAAAAGAGATATTTTATAGGGCCCTACTATTGTACCTGGATAGAAATTATTCATGAGAAAATTGAATATTAATAYTTGCCATTGTCTCATACTTGTAACTCTTAACTCTCTGCTAATTTCCCCAGGGATTCCTTACCRTATCTGACAGACATTGACTTTAAATTCATTAATTTATGTTGCCTTTTGCAAGCGCGTGCTACTGTAGGAGGGTAGATATTACAACAGTGAAGCAAAAACAATAACTTTCAGTAAACAAATMTTTCTGTTAAATATAAATAAATATTTAAAATAGTGTTTAAATTTTAGACAATAGATTTTTGTGATGTATACAAACAAACTCCCCCATTAATGAGTAAAAAACCAATAACAACGTTTGTTTGATTCAAAAGGTGATGGCTGAGGATTTCGACGGGCCCTCCAACAGCCATGTTCGGTACTCCATCGTGGACGGGAACCAAGGCAGTCCCTTCACCCTGGATCCACTTCGCGGGGAGCTTAAAGTTGCTCGCCAGCTGGACCGAGAGAGAGTAAGACACACGGCAGGCACAGCTCTGTTCACATGCAGTTTAATTCGCTGAGAAACTAATTGGAGTCTGTGCAAAATCCAATCAGATTCATGTCAAACCTAATAGGGGGGCTTGTTTAGCGATCTCTGCCACATTATTGTGTGGAACAGCAGCTTTTCCTTGTGTATGGTAATTTTAACTCTTTTTTAAATTTTTTTTTTTTCAGACATCTGGGTACACTGTGGTGGTGGTCGCCTCRGACAACGGGGTGCCCCCCCTCTCCAGCAGCGCCACGATCAACATCGACATCTCCGACGTCAACGATAACCCGCCTCTTTTCTCCCAGGCTAACTACAGCCTCATCATCCAGGTGAGAAGGGAAAGGGGGCTGGRGGTCGTGCAGATAGCTGATTAGAGAGAATAAGATAGATGGAGAGGAAGAAAGGAACAAGGGGGTGCAGGAGGGATTGCAGCAGACACAGGGAAGGATTAACAGGGAGAAATAATGGAAGGCTGTGAGACTAGAATATCAAGAAGTAAGTAGGAGGATGAAGCAGGAGCGGAGGTAAGTTGAGGGAGAAAAGAAGGGGGTGAGGGGATTGAAAAGACAGAGGTTGCATCTTAAGTGTAAAAATGCAGATCAGGATAAGACTAAAAGGAGAGTGAAACCTGCAAGATGCTAACAATGAAAGTGTATAGCTGATTAGACTGAAGGGAAGAAAAAGTAGAAAGGGAGATATCCCTATTCCTCAGGTTTAGAGAACAAAAGMTCTGAATCTAAGGGTAGACAAAGTCTACTATTTTAGAAAGCTAAAAACAGTGGTTGTGAGTGAAGGGGCAGCTTCAAGCTGTTCAAAATAGGTGGATGGAACCATCATAACAGCAATATGTTTGTGCATTTTCATGGCTCGTGTTCAGAAATTTAGCTGGTGCTATTTAAAATTAGAAGGTACAACAGAGCCATGACTTGACATGGACTTGYGACCTGTCCAGGGTGTACCCCGCCCCTCGTACTGTGACTGCTGGATATGGGCACCAGTGACCCACGCAACTCTGAAAAGGAAGAAGCGTGTACAGAAAATGGATGGATGGATGGAACAGAGCCATGACTCCATCAGAATAAACCTTTAGCCTCTACAAACTGATGTACTGATGGCACCGTAATCACGCACTATTAATTACCGTTTGAAATTAGTGATTGAGACCATAAAGTCTTTAGGAAAATCACACATCAGATGAGAAGAAGAGTATTTAATAGCCGTTAATWCTTTCTGTCTGCTGGAATTTGCAGCATTTATCATATCTTTGCCACGGGTGGTGGCGTGATAAGSCTCGTCTAATGCTGCCTGAGAGACRGGATCACACAGTTTTTATAATTCACCCCGTGATTGCTGCCTGCTTCTTTGCACTTAAATTTCTATGCATTTGCCTGAAAATAGATTGAGCATGATCGCATTTTAGGTTTGAAGCATATGAAATGTTGTAACTTGTTTTTTTACAAATCTGGAGCATAAAAACTAACTAACTAACTAACTAACTAACTA